GAACCGAAATAAAAGCAACTATCTTAACACATAGGTCAAGTTGTAAGGGCTTCTCTCCCACTATAATTATGGTGTGTTCATTGTATTTACTTTTCTATATTTTTCTTTTTTTTTCATTTTTTTGAGATATTTGTGTGGTTAAAAGATCTTAATTTTGTTATTATAAAACTGATTTGCTTCTACATCATGGGTTTTATTTTTATTAAAGATTTTTTAATAAATGACTAATTCACCCCCCCCCCCTCTCTTAGTTAGCCTCCGGCTAGTTCATAAGGGTTTAACAAACCTCATGAACTTTCAGAGGTTGAAAAGGATTCCTTGTTCTCTACCTCATAAGGAGGTTGAAAAGGATTCTCGATTCCTTGCCTCACTAAAAGGATGAAAAGGATTCCATGTTCTCTACCTCAAAAGGAGGGTGAAAAGGATTCTAAGTTCTCTACTTCACTAGGAGGGTGATAAGGATTATAGCCCTCTATCGCAGCGGGTTGGTGGAAGAGATTTTATATGGGCTTCTCCACCTATATATGAGAGCTAAAGAAGAGACATTATAATGATAGTGCATAACCTCGAGAGGATGACTCTTGGGAGTAGATGTAGGTCATGGTTTGATCGAACCACTATAAAATTTTTGTGTAATTGTTCTAATTTCCTATTTTTTGCATTTTACTATTTCAGATTATATTTTATGTTATAACTACTTGGTTGACATATGTGATTTCCATTTTGATTTGTGTTAATTAGAATTCCATTATCATCATCAAAATGTTAGATAAGTTTGTTTGCTTCCATAATAGATGATAAGTATTTATTATTTCTCTTAACTATGAAAAAATAAAAAGGAATATTTTATTTATGTTGAACACATGTAATATTTTGAAAATTCTAATTCACCCCGTCTTGGAGTGCATGAGGATAGTTCATTAAGGTCTCACAACCTCTTCGAACTTTTAAACATGTGTATTTAATTGATAGAATCTTTCTTCTAATTCTCTTAATAAATCATTAATAAATGTTTATGTACTCTATGCATATTATTATATCCTTTCGGAAGGATTGATAGCATTACAATTCTGAGTCTTAAAACTTGTACATTATTATCTTCGGTGCTTTATAGTCCCTAGCTTACATGGTTCTCTAAAACTAAATAATCAACTTTAGCACTTTATAATATGAACTATAAAACATCAAATCATTGAGCCTTAAACTTAAATTAAAATCCAATTTTCACCTTTAATAAACAAATGCCTTCAAAAAAGCCAGCTTAAACTATAAACCCCTTTAGATATATCAAAGATACACAGCCTCCTTGACACATTATAGATGATTTGCTTGGAGAGTATATTGTGTTTGTTTGTTTATATTTTTAGTACTTTGAATGTCTTACAAGTTTTAATTTTAGTTGTTACACTTTAACCTTATAGGTTGCATTAAATTCTATAGGTTTTTTATACCCTGTATTAAAATTTTTTAGTATATCTTATTTTACATTCCTTTTATGCTTGTAAAATTCAATGTAGAATGTACTTAGGATCTGATGTAAATATAAGGAGTCATTGTATATATAAATTGTGTATATATCAAGTTGTGAAGTGTCAATGAGTTGTAAATATTCAAAGGAACTTGTTTATGTATATATATGGATCCTATTGATAATTTTCTCTCTTTGGGATGATACTCTCTTTTGGAACTCTATAAGAAGATTAGGAGCAGAAAGATCAAAAGTAGGTATATATATATTTTGTAAGAACATGTATGCTAGCTTTAGGATGATATGATTGTTATACCATATACATGAACACCTTTAGTCTGAAATGCATACATACATACATCTTACTTAATGCAATGTACACTAGTCTAGCACACAAGCCAACAACAAGCAAGTGATAACCTAAAGTGAGTCTTATATTCATATTGGTGTTGGGCCATTATTTTGCTAAATTTTCTTAGAAAATTAAGACTTAGGATTTATAGAAAATATTGATTTAGCCAAAAGTAAATTTTTGAGTTTTGGGTGTCTGTAGAGTTTAGAGTATCTTTTGTACCAAAAAAAAATAAAGTTTATAAATATTTAAGTCAATTATAATAAACTTTCATATTTGAAATAAGTCTAGTATCTACTTTATTTAAATATTTTCTCTTTGGTGATGTAAGTAATTATATTGGCTTGCCTCCATAGGTAACTAAGGACCTAGATTAAAATATACCATATATCAGCTATCTAAGAATAGTGGAAAGAATCTGTGTATGCTAAATAAATATTATTTCTTGGTTAATTTCATAATTAAAATAATAGATTAATATGAATTTTATCCCTTGAGATGATTTTTTCATGAGTTTTGATTATAAAAATAAATTATTTCTCTTTTCAAGTTAATAATGTGGCATTAGTCTATCTTTTGATGTAGTTAATGTTGGTTATGCAGATTTTTGTAAAGAAAAAACTACAGCAAATTGGTGGCTTATACACCATTTTTTTTTCCACATGATTTTTCTGTCAACTCTCCTGGGACTAACTCACTTTTCATCTTTAGTAAAGACTAGATTTTAGATTGGTAGTGTATTCACTTATGTAGTGAGTTACTTCCTTGCATTATGCTTTTCATTTATTTTTTCCTCAGATGAGAATGACTAACACTTCAATTATCAATATGTAAATCTTTCAAAAAAAAAAAACTTCAATCAATCCTCAGTTTAAATCCAAATTCTAAAGTCATCAATTTTTTAGTCTTGGATAGTGCATCATAGTTACATTCTTTGATGTAGCTCGGTGATATTATATGGATTAGGTCCACAGTCAAAACAATGTTACCTTCCATCATATATTATTTAGAACTTGCTTAGGTGAGTAGTAAGATTCATTTCAGTGTTTATACTCGATAAGTTCAGTAATGGATATAGATTTTTGGTTTAGTTTTAGAAAATTGTAGGCAAGTTAATCTTTTACTTCTACAATAACCAGGCCCAATCAATTGAGGGCACTTAAATTAAATTTGGATCAAGCTAAGATAATGTACATTTCATATTTAATGGACCCTTGACTAAAGTGGATGCAGATATTTCTTCCAATTCAACTCCTTCTTAGATCAACAATGAGGGTGGGTCCATTAGTTGTTATGGAAGCTACTAACCTTTAGTCTTATCTCATTTGAATTTCCCTCAATACTAAAATATCTGTCTTCAAGAATTTTGAGATGGGGTTATCTTCTAGAGTGAAAGAGATGACAAAACCTCATTGTCGCAACATGAACGACCCACTAAGGATGAGGGCTGAGAAGGCCAGACTATTAGAAAAGAATATTTTTATTACCACAACTACTGAAGAAAAAATAAATGCAAACTCTAAAACTCCAGAAGTATTTATAAACTCTACATTTCATGGTAAAAATTAATTTCTTTTGTCGTTAGGTGTTGCTAGAAAAAATAAACCTATTAGGATAAATTACCGTGAAGGATTTTGCTTTTCCTCTCTTTTTTGCGCAACGTAAATGCTACAGCCGCGCACTCATGACAGCGCACCCAACTAAATCAATACTATATATATTCAACTCCTCTCTTCACTTCCATACTAAAGCTAAAACTGAAAGCCTAAAGGGGATTGTTTTAGTTGCTTAAAATTGAAAGCCTACAATCAAGGATAGCTCAACTGCTCTAATTTATGTAATTCTTCCTTTTAAAACAATTTGTTAAACCAGAGAAGCCACCAACATTTTTTTCTGGACACATGAAAAGCATCAATGGTTCGTTTTTTTCCTTTACTCCTCTCTCGCGACTCATGAGTCACGACCTCGAGAACGACGTTCATTAGGCGCCCCCTAAAAAAAATTTCTGGCTTCGCCACTACTTGGCTTGTAAGTTTGTTTGGGGGATTTTTCTTTATGTTTTAATTTTCAGATTGTAATTATAATTTTTATTTGATAACTATTTTTTTCATTAATTTTAATAAACTTTTCTTCTAAGAAGCAACTTTCATAGCAATTAAAAAAAAAACTACTTCCTTTACAACAGTTTCACAACCACCTTTATAAAATATTGTAACTGTACTAAATGAACCTTTAATCAAAGTCTCACAAATACATATGCGGAACATAAACCTATTGAAAAAAGCATAATTGTTGGAGTTGATTTAACTAAGAATATTGGTTCCAAATTCCAATAGGATGCGCTATGAGAGAATTTATTATGCATTTTTATAAAGTATATGTGTGCTGAATTTAAAATTGTCCCAAATGAAATCTTAAAGTATAATGAAACCGATTAGAAGAACAACAATGATTTCCATCAACACCTTATATGCAGAACATATACCTATTGAAAAAAGCATAATTGTTGGAGTTGATTTAAATAAGAATATTGGTTCCAATAGGATGCGATATGAGAGAATTTATTATGGTTACGAAATAGTGGATAGAAATGCAATAAGAGGTGCTATATATAATTAGTCTAAAAAAATTTGATGAATACTCGCACAAAAATGGAGTCACAATAACATATATAGATTTTTTTTTCTTAAGTGAAATTAAAATTCTTCCTGCAAAAATTGCAAAGTAATTCTAATAAAAAAATTGAGCATACAATATAGAACATCTATTATGATTTTATAATTGAAATAATTTTATACTAAAAAAATTGTTTTCCAAATAAAATCAAGTATAATAAAACGATTAGAATAACAACAACTATTTCCATCAACACCTTCTAAGTTATTATTTTTTATTAAATATAATAAAAAATATTTTTTATTAAAAATAATGAAGTACAATCATCATCTTGTGATTAGGTAGGACATCAACATCGTTGATCTCTATCACAAAATTTCAATGAAATAATTTCATTAAACCAATCGTACGAATAATTAACTTTTGGTACAAAAATATTAATGTCATATAATATGTGTAAAAAACTAAAAATTAAGGATTTAGATAGTTTTGTTGATTAAAAAATAAAAATTACTGTCATAAATTATATGCGATGCTTTTATCATTTATCAATTTCAAACCTTTATAAGAAAATCTCGGGAAAATCTTTGGCTTTGGCCCCTAAAAGAACAATTTTGCTTGAGACCGAACTGCATATGCTCGAGAGATCGATCGATCCAGAGAGAAAGAGGAGCTCTGAAGTTCGGGGAAGTCTTCTTTTGCTTCAACCAAGCAGCGATTTTGGATGGAGATCATCATGGACTGATTTGCTGGTTCGGTTTTCCTCGCCGGCGGAAACATGACGAACAGCGGAGATGAAGAGCGGAGCAGGGAAGCTGGTGGCGGAGGCAGCAGCTCGGAAGGTGGGGATTCGCCCAGTCCCAATCTCGAATGGAGGTTCAATCAGACGCTTCGAAACGTGCAAGGGTTAGTTAGATCTGTGTCATCGATTCCCCTTGTATATTTGATTTCTTTCTAGGTCCTTTAGTGCGCTCCAAGGTATTTCTATAGCGCAAACAAGAATCTGATGAGGAATGTAAAATCAGTTGGGATTTAGTCCTGCTTTGTTTTTCATGCTTGTGATTCGTATAAAGATGGTTTGATCTGATCTGATGGATATGGTGGTTTTATTGGAATTTCGTTTTGGGCATTGCTGGAATGGTATTTCCTAGCTTGGGAAGGCTGAGGTGAATAAATTCAGGGTTATTTTTTTGCATTTGGACAAACGTAACAATTATTGCTCCTCTACTCTTCTAGACCTGAAAGATGTTTATCGAGTTATTTCCAATTTGTATGCCACGGAGGTGAACTCTGATATTTTAAATTCATCTTGAATGGCCTTTCTTTTTCTTTTGGTTATGTAATTATCGAATCTGGCTCAGAGGAGCAGATTTAGATGGTGTTGATTGTCCAGGTCATGTGATAACCAGAAATTAGTGAAGTCTGATAATTTCCTGAGAAATTTTGTTCTTTTTCTTCAATTCTTTCATCTCAATGCTTCTTTAAAGCTTAAATTAGTTGTACATGCAAATTCTAGCTCTCGCTCCTTTTATTTCGCATTAAGTTGGGTCTGCTCTTCTTGCAATTCCTTTGTCTTTTAAGCCCTTTCATCTCCTTTTATGGAATCTAATATATGACTTTGCTTTAAAAGTTGATTCATATATTTGTTTTGCTGGTTTAGAATACTTTCTTAATATTCTCTTTTACCATAAGGCAGATGAGATTTCCTGTATGCTTATCATTTTGAAGGATACCTTATGCATTAATATGTATAATGCTTTGAATGTTTTGTTCTATTTTATAAACAGGTTGCTCAAAGGTCGCAGCTTTCCAGGTAAAGTTTTGGTAACACGCAAATCAGAGACCATGAATGAGAGCATATCACCAAGACCTCCAGAGCACGAAAGAAGTTATGAAGAGAATTACTTTAGGAAAGGTGAACATGAGCCCCATTCTTTTGAGGTATATTCATGTGAAGAATGTGTATTAAACTGCAGGCATCTATTCCAGTTGCCTTCCTTAATTAGTAAAAATTTGTGTGCTACAGAAGGAAAGTCTGGGTTCTGGAAGCTCTAGAAGTGGTAGTAGTCCTTCCATTGCAAGAGTGCCATCAGTGAATAATGAAGTTGCATCCCCAGATACCCAGAGATCTTCTTTTGGAGCCAGAGCTACAGATTCTGCAAGAGTTACTAAATTTACAAAGGAAATGTCTAAACCAGCTGTTATATTAGGTATGTTTTGTAGATGACCATCTGTTTAGATTTGTTCTTGATGATTTATTTATTCGAGTTTTGCATTGTAAGGAACTGGTCTTCTAATAAAGAAGTTACACATCTTTGAGACATGAATCAATTTCTTTACCTGATTCTTCCAATTATTCCCTTAAGATGGAAAAACTGCAGCATAGATAGTTTTATTTTTGTTTTGGAGAGGTGTTTCTTTATAAACTTTATCCTGTAATATTTGTTACGTGAAATTCATATAATGAAATTGCCATCATAGTCATGCGCGCGCGCGCGCGCGCACACACACACATATATATATATATATAATTTAAATTAGCATAATTAATAACAATTGTGATAATTAAAATCTTATTATATTCATCAAGTCCATAATGTCCAACAATCTCTTCCGTTTTTATGATAATAAATATTTCAGCTCATAATTTTATCTAAAATTTGTAAGTAAAAAATTTTAAATAATTTATCAAAGATGCTATTAAACTAAATTCTATGTTTACTGCTGAGAAAAAAAGATTTAGTATGTTTAATTCTGCAACAATGTATGCAATTCTCATTTGAGAACTCATTGTCAATCAAAAGAACAATATTATCTATTCCATCCCTTTGGAGAATTTTCATCTTGGATATGCCAAACATTAATAATGAACAATCTATTTAATTCGATTTTCTAAAACTTTCACGACTATAAATAAGAATATAAAAATATATTTACACTAAAAGCTGGGTAAGTATTAGTACTCATGAGTTCCTCTAGATATCAAGAAATAACCTAGGTATGTAGGAAGCAAAATGAATAAAAATTATATTGGAAAAAAATTATTACGAGAATTAGAGGAATATATTTTAAGTAAATATATCTCTTAATCACATTTCTATTTGTATTTGCTAAATTTTGATAAGGGTAGAATTTAATCAAATGCTATAATTTCAAATTTTATTTCAGATTGAATTTAAAATTTGTACAAAATTTATATTAAATTATTCTTAAATCTTACTCATGCTTTAGTTTGGGATAGCATTTTTAATGCTTTCAAAAACAACTTTCTAATAAAAATATTTCAAAAAATTTTGTACCAAAAAAATCTGCTTCATAAAATAATTAAAAAAAAAAGTTCCTAACGAAGCCTAAGTGGCCAACCTATCAGCAAAAAAAGACATCTACAGCCAAAGCTTGGTTTCATTCAAAATGTATTAAATTTAGATAAACAATTTTCTAAATTTAACAAAATAAAGATTAACTAAATACTACTTCCCTAAATGAGTCTGAAAGCTATATAAGATGGTGGACGAAAGCAATTCCTCCCCTCTCATTCGCGCTCGAATCCCCTAAACGTTCCAACAAATAAAAAAGTATTTCATAGATAGGTACAGTTCTAAAGTTTAAAACATATTTTTTTTAATGATACCGTTCTTAAGTTTAAGAAGGGTTCAATGATAAAACCTAAATTGATTGTGAACTTATTAGCTTTCTATTTTTAAAATTGAGTTAAAATAACCTTATGGCATGCACCATCTACTAAATTCAAAACATTACTTTGACTCAAAGGATAGTAAATAGGTAAACCATTTAATTTTTGTAGACTTATCTCATTAAGTTTTATTGAAAAATAATTTTTAAATAGCAAAAAAAAAAATTCTCTTAAAAGAAATCTAACATCTTAAAATACAATTTTTATTTTTAAACATAAGTAAATTGTCTTTTATAAATGCTAAAAATTCTCATTATCATAATCTATTTTTAGAAACTAAAGTTACTCATTCAAAAGAAAATATGAATACTTAATAGTTTTATAAGTTCTTATTATCTTACTATCATAAAATTAAGAAAAAAAAATATTTTTTTAAAAATAATTTGTTATGTATTTATCATGAAATCTAAAATCTACATTTGAACATTAACATTTTAAAAGCAGTACTAATGATAATCTTTGAAATAGAATTAATATTATACCTTTATTTATAGCAAGCTCTACATGTATTCATAATTTGTTGTTATGTTGTTCTATTACTTGAATGAATTCTGCATGTAATACACATTGAGACACTCTCATATATCATGTAGGAATATTTACACATTTTCTATAAATAAATATAGAATTATAAATTCATTCGTGTACATCTTGTCAAAGACAATTATTTAAAGATTTCATTAAATAAATTTGAATATGGGTTATTTTTGTTCTTTTATGTGATAAATTAATTGTTAAAAAACACAGGATTAACTGCATTGCATTCTCCACACCAACATCTAAATTCACACAACAGTAATCTGACTCAGAGGACAGTAAATAGGTAAACCATTTCTTTTTTGTAAACTTATCTCATATGTTTCATTAAATAGTCATTGCACATAGTAATAGAAAAAGTATTTTTTTTATTAAAAGAAATATAAGATCTTTAAACAAAATTTTGATTTTTAATTTTATTTTGATAAGTGTTAAAAAATCTCAGTATCAGACTCTATCATTAGAAACTAAAGTTACTCATTTGAAATAAAATATGAAAACATAGCCTTCGTTTGGGACGGCGTTTTTACTCCTTCGTGAAGCAACTTTTTAGCATAAAAATTAAAATTTTTGTACTAGAAAGCTGGTTCAAGAAGCAGAAAAAAAGCCGTCCCAAACGAAGCCTTAGTTGTTTCATAAGTGCTTCTAAATTCTATTGTCATAAATTAAAATCAAAGTCAATTTATATAATAAAAATTTTACATGTAAACATAAACATTTTTAAAGTACTAATGATAATCTTTGGAATTGACCTAATACTATACCTTCATTTTCCGTAAGCTCTAGTTGTATTTATAATTTATAGTTATGATGTTATATTACTTGTATGCATTCTTAAAGTTATACACATTGAAACACACTCATAAATCATCTTGGAATGTTTATTAATTTTCTAAAAATAAATATAGAATTATAAATTCATTCATGCATACCTTGTCCAACATTAATTAAAATTTTCATAAAAGAAATTGGAATATGGCTTATTTTTTATTCATTTAGGAGATTCATGTATAGATCAAAAACACATATATGATTAACTCATGGCACTACATTGCATTCATCACCTTCTACACATAAACAAGTTTTCAATGCTACCAAAGTTAGTAGATCCAATCATGCATGGATATACAAAAATCTAGAAAAATAAGTTTGAATTGTAGCTTTATCTCATGCTATTCTCCAAGTCGAATGAGACCTCTTTGAGTCACCGTACCCACATTCTTGCATTGGAATCTGTCTCCTACCACTGTTCTGCACTTCTGAGGAAGGCCTTCATCATCTCAGGCTCCTCAATTATATAAGTGATTCCCGCATGAATACCAAGCAAAAGTCCCACTTCTTTTTATTTCAGATTCCTCAGGTTAGAACCTATCACTCCATCCACAAATGAAGGGATAACTTTCAAAACAAGTGCCTATGCCATATCAACTTATCTCTCGCTCTTCTGGAAATGAAGAAGAACTAATGGGCTATTTGTATTCCTCTGAAAAGGAAAGTTTGAAAGCAAAGTATGTTTGTCTAAGTTAATGAACGTGAGATAATTAAGTTTCTAGGATTGAATATTTAAAATGACCTGAATTGTAAAACATCTTACAATAATATTTACCTGTTTTCTTAAATTAAGGTCAAGCATACTTAAATTAAGTATATTGGTTTTACTTTACATTAAATTTATTTTATATTAGATTTTTCTTACATTACTTTTTAAAAAAAATCAAATGGTCATAAGAGAAAGCATCACTTATTTTTCGGTTAATATTTGGGGTGTTTGGTGCCTTCGTATTTTTAATATTATTATGTTATAATTAAAATTTTTATATTATGTATATTTATCAATTTTATAATTAAATATTATTCATTTTTTTATCGAGCTTTATTCATGAGTATTCTAATCGAACCCGAATCGAGCTTATTCATGAACATCAAATGATGTTATTTCGGTCTAAACATAAATGTAGGATCTGAACGCATTAAGTGGTTGCAAGCTTGGTTATTTAACGTAATTGTATGCTTTTTTTAAAATATGTGTTTGCATAGTTTTTGTTTTGTTAGTGTAATTAATACGATCATGAATCGTAGCTTAAATCGGGAATGTCCGAACATATGCGAGTAGCTGCGTCGAACGTTTGGTTCACTGCAGCCCTAGACTATATTTTAAAGTGCATGTACAAAATTTATTTATTTTAGATTTATTTTAATATTTTTCTTAATCATCATTTAAATTAGGCATTTAGAGAGAAGTTTTGTTATGAATTTTAAAAAATTATTAATTATATCCTATTTTTTTAATTTGGAAAATAATTATTAAATATATCAAATAAATTTAATATATTTAAGACTTATGAAAAATTATTATGATTTATTTTTAATTGTAAATATTTCAAATCATAAAAATTTTCCGCACCAATTCTCTTAGAAACATCAATCTTGGGTGCACTCATTGTTGAAACAATTATCTAGCTAGTTGTTTTAGTCTCACAATGCACTATAGGAACTTTAAGGTTTATGTTTTTTATATACCTTTTTTAGTAACCTTAGGTGAAGAGCCTACGTGGGGTGAAGGAATCATGTGGGGATGACTAACATATTTTTAATATATAACAATATAATTCTTTTGGAATTATACTCTTAAATTTTTTTTGAAAATATATTATATTTAAATTAATATAATATTTAACAATTTATTTTATATTAAATTAAATTGTTTAAATATATTATTAATTGAATAGGCCGGTTTTAAAAAACCAGGCCGATTCAATGGTCTGGCGGTTAAACAGACCACCAGTTTGATGTTTGCTCGATTTTTTAGGAGGACTGATCCGACCATTGGACTGGTTCACGATTGAACCATTTGAACCGGCCAGTTCGGTCAGGATTTCAAAACCAAATTATGTGAGTGTTTTACTTCTCTAACAAAGAAAAAAAAAAACTAAGCGAACGCAACAACACTTCCTCTCTGCCTCTCGCCAATTATTTCCACTAATCCCACACTCTCCCTTTGGCTATTCTGC